GTGTGTTTCATCACAGATATCTAATTTTAAGTCTTATACAATTTATTATCTATTTATTTTTTCATTTTATCGTGATCGAAGTCAATAATTGTTCTCTTTCTTTCAACTCTTGGAAATATTTATTTGAATATTTGAAAAAAAAAAAAAACGATGCTCGAAATTTCTTTTCCTCGAACTCCTCGCACAACATCGGAAAACTATATCTCTGTGCATCGAATTTTCATTGGTTAAACTCCCCCTTCCTCGAAAACTTTCGAAATAAAACGAAGCTTCCATAACTTTCCAGTTAGAAGACTTTAGTTCCTCTCTCGAGAGGAGTTACCAAGGTTCCATTGCTATACGTGCTATTTTGCATATACGTCTTTTAATCTCGAGCCACTCGAAAGGAAGGAAAAAGGACTGGAAAGTTAGATCTTAAGATCGAGTTGCGACGTTATTTCTTTGATCCTCGGTACAAAGGCTACCTGTTATTCGAGTATTCGTTGAATTACAGGATACAAACGGAGCAAATAAATATTAACGTCAGTCTTTACACTTAAAATTACGTTTTCAACGCGATTCTCAGACTAATTGATTTACAATCGAATGATAGAATAAATTCTATCATTGATAATAATTGAAATCTGAACAAAGCAATGGTAGATCTAAATTAAAACGTGTAATGCTTACGTATTTATTCGGTTGGTAAAGTATCGCAAAGCATTGCAAATCTTTTAAAAATGGATATGATTCAGGGTTCGTAGTTTCGAACGTGTAATAAAAAGACACGTGTACACGTGTGCTCCGTAATTTTTAGAACACGTGCACCTGTGTATCGTTTCACGTGTACTTAATTACACGCTTATTATCGTAATTTTATTCGTGTATTTTTAGAAATACGAATACTGATTTGTGGGACGAGATTATTATTAATTTCCAGACTCCATTGATAACATTTCTTTTTTAAATAATTCTATTCACCATGATTTTCTGATAATTTTTCACTTTTCTGTTAACTTCGTTAACGCGCAGATGCGAACGTGTAGCAATATTTTCAATTACAAAATCTATATAGATTTTTGATTTTCCTTTATTATTCTATTGGAAAAATTTCAAGGTAAAATTTTACTACTGTAAGATATTAATATATTTGTCAAAGTTTCATCAATAATTTTTGAATTTTTTAAATGAATTTCCATGTATAATAGTATTCAAATATTTTTCGAAATCACTCTTACGTATACCTTATATATCTTTATAAAATTTTAGATACGAATATAAAAATTACTAAATTGTTTAAAATATAATAAATAAGTCTCGATCCATTGTTATCGTATATCAATTTTTGTTTTCTATTTTGCAATCTATCTTCCAACGATATAATATATTTAACACGAGCTTCTCTCCCATTGACATCATCAAGAGGTTGGTCTCGTTATATTGATATTCAGAGGCTCGTGAATATCTTCTCTGACCGTAATTCATCGACTGGATGCTTCGTCACGTTACGATTTCCTTTTTCTTTTTTTTTTTTTTTTATTGGCCGAGATACGTTCCGGAAATAGGGATTCCCTTTCATCGAAGGGAAAGATCAAAGACATTTCGTACGGATGAGGAAAAAATTTCGCGTTAATTTGATCGAATCGCGATCTCAGATCTTCTTCTCCTTCGATGAAAAATATTTAAAAAAAAAAAAATCTCTTCACGATTTATTGACCCAGTTTCTCTACCGATTATCCACAAACTTTGCAATTCCTATGATCGTTAATTAACCTTGAACTTCGTAGCTAATGTAACGTACACGTTAATAGGAGGAATGTTGGAGTTTACATTTTTAAATTTTGCTTATTGATAATTATCACTTTTTGCCTGAATATAAGGTATACGTAAGTTGTTTTTAAAATGTTAATAAATTATATCGTTAAATCTCTTAGAATTCATACGATATGCATTTAAAACAATCGATTATTTACTACTGTAAGTTTATTATATACGTGATATTTCATAGAAGAATATTCGAATCTTGAATACGCAAATTTGAAGCATTGCGTGATTCAATTCAATCTTGTTCAAGAACGATAAGGAAAAGAATCACGCATAGTCACGCATTTGATTCGTTATCGAGCCACGTGATTCGTCCCTATGACCCACTATCCGACCTTTAATCGCGCCGACAGGATACACGTTCGATTAAAACTTTCTAGAATTATGCCTCTGTTTGGCTGCAATCTTCTGTTCCGGAAGTCCGCTTTACCTCTTCGAATCGCTCTTCTGTCGCCTCTGTTCTTTTCTCTTTTTTTTTTTCACAATTTTTATTCTACATATCTCGACAAATTCATTATATTCAAGTTTCATATTATAAAACATTTTTAAGCATAAACAATTTATTTTTATTTGATCGTGAAACAACGTTAAAGAATATAAAATATTCGATATTATTTTTATTTTGTGATTAACTTATTTGTACAGAAAATATATAAAATTTATTTAGATTTTTATTGAAGAATATTTTTTATTAAATGGTTGGATGAATTATTTTAAAAGGAGTAAGAGCTGAGAAGGGAAAGAACAAGACTTCTAACGTGAACAAACGTTACGTAAATTGATGATTGTCACGAACATGTCACTTAAGAGATTAATACAATATTATACATAATATTATATTTATAATTATTTACGAAAATCGATAATCTGATATATCGATTATATTAGCACGTTCGATTGTGGTCAAAGGATAATCCTATTCTAGACATTAATAACCGCGTGACTTTTCGGCCGATGCATGCATCCAGATAATACTGGACTAAAGCAAACCTGTTAAGCCGTGCAATCTCGTTAACGAAACGAATCCGTGTAACAAACTTACGGTCGTCCAATGCATTTACACAAAAGAATGATGATGGCGCTCCAATTTTTAAACTAACTTGATTCTACGAATATTTCGTTTATGATAATTTTCAAGATATGAAATATATTTAAAAATAATAATTTCGTGAATATTTTTTGCAAATAAAATACTTGTTTTATTGAAGATAATTGTCTATAACTTTCACTCTCATTTGCAATATCCATTAAAATTATTCTTGAGAGCAACTTTTATGAATTTTAGAATGTATTTGAGGTTAGAATTGTAAATCGGTTGCTGTCAAAAATTATTTTTATTTAACGAATATTAAAACTTGAAAGTTAAAATATGATTAATCATTTATACTTACACTCTCAACACAATGCAAATTTATGAAAAATATTTTTAATATATAATTATATATAAATATAATTATATATAATAATAATAATTATATATAATATATAAATATTAAATAATTCTCTACGAGAATACATTTTACTCTCACACTCTTTCAGATATATTCTTATCATTAACGATAATGATGTAGCTTTAAAAAAAAAAAAAAAAAACGCGATTCCATACACTAACCCGAGAATAATTCCCTTTGAAGTTCATAAGTATTTTCTCGCCTAGCGTTTTTGTTCTTAGAAAGTTTTTCTCCCCATGTAAAGTCGATACAATGTGCGACTCTCCATGACGAGGAGGGTGCATGTGTTGTCGATGACATTTACGAACCGGAGGGTGCTCGAGAAGGCGAAGTAAATTGCAAAACTCTACGAAAATTCTATTTGTTAAACAAGCGTAATGTTAGAATCTAACGATTCGTGTTTCGCTTTGATCTAGGGAATTTTTTTTTTCGCTTTCAATAGGCAATGAAACTAATTTGTGCGTGCACGTGATGTTTCTTTATCTATTTAATTCAATCTTATAGATTGAAAAGAGGGTCATTCTTTGTTCTCGAATGAAAATAGAATAGGAATTTTATAAAAATATTAAGGTAAACGATCTTAATTTATCGAACATTTAACGTGAAAATTTTCGAATATTTTGAAAATATCTTTCAATTCTTTTTTGGAAAAATATATTTGAATATATGGAGAAAATATTAATTAAAATTTTTTATTTTATTAGAAACAGAAATTGTAAACGATAATATTATGCATACAAAATTAACAAAATGTAATTTCGAGGATTATAGATTATAAATCACTGTTTTGTCATTTCCAGCAGCTATGCCAATTAAATAAACACAATTTTATGAACATCATTAACTCTTATAATTGATTACACTCTTATATATATAGCTGTTAATTCTGAATGAATAAATCAGGATAATCTTGTTTGGAATATTATTTTCAAAATATAAATATTTCCCATACAATAATTTATACATATATATGAAAACTTAAATTTCATTTTCAAAAGTAATAATACTTTAATTGCTTTATGTTTATAATTTAAAAAAAAGAATCAATTGATGTCGTAATCGAATTACTTGCCAAATATGTACACGCGGGTTTCTAGCTTCGATTCTACTCATCTTGAATTCATCATAGAGAATATAGACAATGATAATATATAATTCAGCCCTTTGTATGATTCGATACGTGGCGACATGAACGCGTGCTCGATGAGCGGAAGCTCCCTTACCGGAAGCAGAGTACTCTGAATATTCATTTATACGGTTCGTTATGGATCCCAGTGAGAACATGCCGAATCAACGGTCCTTCGAGACTGTGAATCATAGTTAACCTTGAATTTAGTTTAATCCCTTCGTTCCACGAATCATTTCTAAATAACCAGTTCCAGATCTATTTGCATTTCGTTATTTGCCGGTTGAAATTCTTTAAAAACTAAACAGTTTTGAATCCTCGAAATCGAAATAAAAAATAATTTGTTACTTATTTGATAATAATCTAATTGAGTTTAGATTCATTATAATTTATTTGTTACAATTAATAATGATCTATTGCAATCATTTATATGGAAAAAAAATGGCCATTATTATTAACAGAACTATGAATCTGAATTAAAGAATTTCAAAAATCAAAATTTATTAAGATTTTTTGACAGAGATACTCCTTGAAAAGAAAAAAAGAAGAAAATATTTCGTGAATTCGAATTTACAAATTTCGATGCATCTCTCTAATATACGTGTACAATTTTGTTTCAGGGAGGAAGTACAAGAGCATACAGTTAGATGGAACGCTAAATTTGAATTTCTATGCAAGATGAGTGCCAATGCGTCCACTGGTGTTCTTGATCCTTGCATTTTAAGGATATCCGTGAGAAAGGTGAATCATTCGATCAATTATGCTTAAACCCTTCTAATCGTTGATTATTTTTGCAGGAATTGAAAGGAGGCCGGTCCTTCCAAAAGCTTGGCTTCACCGACCTGAACCTCGCCGAATTCGCAGGAGCTGGACTCTGCAGAACGAGGTATCTTCTAGAAGGATACGACGCGAGACATCGGCAGGATAATTCCATGTTACGCGTTGCCATTAAAATGAATATGCTCTCAGGAGATATTCTATTTAAAGTGTAAGTTGTATCAACATATGATGCATACTGATATTTTTAAAATATCTAAGAAAATCTAAAGTTTTATCATTTTTTTATTTTATTTTTCTGTGAAGTTGAGTATAAATCTTCTAATTTTATTTAAAAAAAAAATGAAAAAATAAATAAAATATTTTAATTAAGGAGACAGTAAGTGTAATAGATTTTTTTTGTTTCTAAATTTTTGTAAAATAAATATATAACAATTATTATTTGAATAATATAATTATTTAGTTTCTGAAAATTTAAATATTGATCAATCATTTAAATGATTCATTTGCTCTTCACAATAAAAATTAAGTATACATCATGATTTATCTATTAAAATAAAAAATATCATATTAAAAGTTTATTATATTCAAGTTCTTTTGTGTTGCGATACTTAAGTTTAATTTATTGTATCATAAATGTTGGATTAATTAGAATGATAAGATTTGAATTAAATTTTATAGACCGTCTCCATCGTTGAAGCAAACACAACTCGCAGTACCCGGTGTGCCAGGTGTTTCTGGTGTGACGACGGACGAAACTGTGTCTGAGAGGTGTACCAATCGAGAAGACTTTGTATCCAGTGGTTCCTTAGCTGGAAGCATAGCTAGTGCCAGCAGTGGTTTCGGCAGTCTTCCTAAAAAAAGGCCTCCCCTCTTTTCCTCGGGTAATGATTGAATTTTAATTCTAATTCTTCCATGTTCTTTCATGAAAGGAGAGAAGAAAATATAAATAAAATAAATAAAAAATACAATTAGAGATTAACTGTAGAAGTATCATATATTGAAAAAAAGAGAAAAAGCTTAAATTGATAAACTTATTGATAATATGTTGATTTATAATATGATATATATAATGATAAGAAGATAAGATTCATTTTTTGATGACTTGAATAAATAAAAAGAAAAATCATATCCTTTTTCAAATATTTTATAAATATTTTTTAAATTTATAATGTATAAAATGAAATTATTTTTAAATTCATCTTCTATTGTATTGTTTGTTATATGCCAAATTTTTATTTATTATAAAATTATATATTTTTTAATATTTTTATTCTTATTGTATCACATCATATCATATTTCTCTTTACAGAAGATAAGATATTTAAATAAACATTTGTACAAAGCAATTTTTTATTTTTGTTATATATACAATTGAAATTTAATGAAAGAACATAACAATAAGAATAATAAATTATTAAAATTGTTATTATTAGCAAATAGTTGATCTATCTTTCCTTTTTCAGAACTTCTTAGTGGAACAGAATCATATGATCCAATGACCTTGAGCGAGATTGTACCATCGGCTCTTCCAGTGGAAACTTTAGCTGAAGCGCACACAGAGTCGGGACATTCTCGTAACAGTAGCAACACCAGTCAGTTAAGCAAAGGTTCTGGCTATGGATCTTTAAATTCTCACAGTCAACACAGTAGGCAGAGCAGTAGTGGTGACAGTGGTCACATTAGGTAAGGCCACGCGGCCAACCAGGGAATCAAATGGAAAAAAAAAAAAGTGAAACAATAGAAAACTCTATTTCCGGAAAAACGAAGAGATTGATCGTAGTTAGATCGGAAATTTTAAATCGAAGTAGAAATTAAGTCTTAATTATAGTCCAGAGTTCTCTTCTCCATACTTTTTGTAACAAGAACTTCTCTCATTTTGGCTCATTAACGGCTTATTACTTATCTTACTATCTTTAAAGTGTTTCACTCTTTGATCTCTTTCTAGGAATTTTTTTGTAGTTACATATTTAAAAAAAATCTTTTCTTTTCTTTTTTTTTATGACAATTTTACATTATTATGTACATATCTATGGTTTTACTTGGATGATGAAGCGAGCATGGTATTTCATAAGGGATTAAATGAGAGGAATTTCGTAATAGGAATACAGTTGCTTGTATAAATCAACGTCGTGGGATGTTATACCGATAAAAGACGCAGCAAAGAATATCATCGTAACAACAGCACTAACAATTTTTTGAAATGCGTGCCAATAAATACCATGCAATTTCGCTTGCGATTTTGCTTTGAAACTCTACGCTTAAGTCTTATATTTTGCCGAATCTTTTTACAAAAATTTCTTTTTTAAATTGCATTATGGATTAGTTTTAATAATTTTCGGTGCCTGATGCTTAACAAAAAAAAAAAAAAAAACATAAATGCGTATATATACTAACTTTTCTTTGAACTGCCAAACTTACCACTCGAACACTTATTATTATCTAGCACGTGTTCGTGGCTGTTAACAAGAAGGCATCGATAACGATGTACGAGAAATTTTCCCCTCCTTTTTTATGTTTCTTTCTTTTATTATTATTATTATTATTATTATTGTTATTATTATTCAATTTCTTGAGACTCTGGATTCTCTCTATTTCTTTATATATATATATATATTTATATATATAATTTTATCTATTTCTCCCATATTTTCCCAATTCCATCTTTTTACGTACTGTATATGAGTTTATTATTATTTTTGCATGCTTGAATATTTGTGTTGTGATCTTTATAGGTCACCCTCCTGGCCGGTATGGGCTCCACGTATTCCTAATACCTCCCAAAATTCTTCGACCCAACAACAGCCCGTAAAACCTGAGACTTCTCTCAATATCGAGTCCCCGACTTCGTCTTCCATCCTGCGAAATCCACGAAATCGGTTCTGGTCTACTTCCAGCCCTGTTTCGTCATGTGAAGAAAAATCAGTGAGAAGTTCTTTGAGGTCTAGTATAGCGGTTGTTCCACTATCTAACGATCAGAATGAAACAAATGAAAACGGAATCGTTTCAAACGACACGTGTCGCGTTAACGAGGACGTTGAAAACGAGATCGACGTGTTCAAGATACCTGCACCGCAAGACGTAACGCGAACGCGACAATTGCGAAAGAATTATGATAGACATAGTTTTGATTCGTCGAATGAGCGTAACGTAGCGAATTCGTCGATGAAAAATCGGAATGGACAACAGAACAGCATAGTCGCGCCGATCGCGAAACCGAGAATCGGTCACCCAAGTTGGAGAAATATTTCGAAAACCTGTGATTGCATCGAGAAAGGAAATATGAGCCCGGTTTTGCGATTGGCCGACCAGGCCAGAGCCGTGTCCTCTCCCGATCCTCTTCATAGGCCCGATAACCCCAGAGCCTCGCTACGTTCCGCGACGACCGCTCAGACCCTCAGGTAGGTTTCATTCATTCAGCGACTTTCTCTTTTTTATGATTGATTTTTTTTTATTTTATTTATTTATTTATTTATTAATTTTTTGATTGATTAATTAATTAATTAATTAATTTTCCTTGGTTCTTCCTTTCGATTTTTTGTGCGTTCTATCTGTTGCCTCCTTTTCATTCTCTGTTAACTGCCATTGCATAGTCGGTAAAAGCAGTCTGTTTCCTGAGCCCTCTTGCGTATTAATTTAGTAACTAATAATGTTAGTGAATCGAGAAGTTGTAGGTTATGTTTTATCTTATAATTTTTGAAATTTATATAAATAAAATAGAATAATTAAATTAAAAGTGTTTCTCAACTTTTTTATAGTTATATTGGTATATAAATTTATATATTATTTAATATTATAGATTATATATTAATATATGTATTTGTAATAAATACATATATTAAAATAATAGTATTGCTATCGAATTCTAAATTTACAGTCGCAAAAAAATTTAATTCCTGATACAATTTTAATTTCTTTACATTTTTAGCAAATATACAAGAAACAACAAAAATGTACTATTGTTTTATATGATAAATATAAATATAATTGTTTGAGTTGTTATCTATATAATATAATGTAATATATAATTTACATTTTTGTTGTGATTTTGTTCTTGAATATTTATTATAAATATAGAGTTTAGAACTCAAAATTTTATCAGTATTTGAATCTTTATATAATCGACTTCATAAAAATTTTAAAAACTAATAGTTTAAACTTAGTCATTGTATATTAGATAAATAATAAATAAAATTATGTATAATTGAATATATACTCGAATTTGTTTAAGTCGCGACTTAAAAATTTAACATAATTCGACATTACATTTCAATTCAAAAGTTGAGAAATACTGAAATAGATAACTTACAAAATAAAAGAAAATCGTTTTCTATTGTTAACTTATAACTTTCGCTAATAATATTAGTTTTAATATTTATACAAAAAGGCTCTAGAATGTTCGTTTAAATATTATCCATTTAAAAGAATTACAGAAAATGTGTATCGAGTTGTAGTATAAGCAGTTTTTCTCTTTATGTCATTTTCCATTTTAATTTATTATTTTTTTTTAAATTAAAAATATACGATTTATTTTGATAATTATTGCGTATTATTTTTTATTTATAAAAATTCTATTCAATATAGCAATAAATCATATATTTCTAATGTAGTCTATTTTTTCCATGCATGTATTTTTTTTTCCTTTTTATTATATTGTTTCTTTCTCTCTCTCTCTCTCTCTCTCTCTCTCTCTATCTCTTTTATGTTTTACATTGACATTTAATATCATATATAAAAATATAGACATGCAAATATGTTATAATGTTTAATAAGCTTATATACAAAGATACATATTTGCTGCGAGATTTGCTTCCGCTTTGCTTTATTAACTGCGCAAATTTTTTATCATAGAAACTATCGATAACACATCATATTAATTATTTATAAATTTTATTCCAATATCATATGCTGCGCCTATTCATTAACTTGAATCACGTTATTATTCTATTCCAAAAATATTAACGTCCAATAATCGTATAAAAATTATATTATATTATATTAAAATTATATTATTGCAATAGAGGGCAACTGTATTTAAAATGTATATTAAGATAAAGAAGAAAATATTAATGAATCACATTTATGAAAGAAAACAGTGCCAAAGGATGTATATACAAATGTAGCTAATAGAGTTACATTTTATAGTTGGCATAAATTGACCAAATTACATTTATGATTATGATTTAAAAAAGATTTCTCTTTCAATCAATTTTATTTCTCAATGAATTTGAACGATCAATCAATTTTGGTAGATCATGTATTAAAGATGTATATCGCTGAACACTTTCACAGTCCGCGTTACATAATTTTGAACTAAAATTGCTTCTATAATATAATAATATAATCTCTCTAACAAAAACAATATAACCTTCCTCTGGCTTTCAACACTTAGGTTGACCAATAAGTTTTTTTTTTTCTTAAAATAAAATACAAATTATTTGATTATATTTATGTTTCAATCAAACAATCATTTTTTGCTAACAATGATTATAATAAACAAGTGTCACTTAAGAAATAAGAAACTCGCATTTCATGTTTTTGAATCTTTGTCATTAATTTTAAATATAGAATAGCTTATGAAAAATTCATTTTATTATTCAACTTTTCAAGTCAATATTTAGATATACGTTTATTTAACATGTAACATGTAAAATTTGTTATTTTTTTTGTCATATAAAATTTTCAAATTCAGCTAGAATTTCTCATTATTTGATATATTCATTTATTCAATTTATTCAATTTATTCAATACTAGAAAATTACTAAAATTAGAAAGTCGATGATACAAACATGATCAATTAAAGAATCTTTAGAATATTTCCAAAATAAAACCAATATTCAATTTTTTTGATTCATTAATTCTTGCTCTGATAAAGTACGAACTTATTGGAAAGCCTAAATCATCATTCGATTAACAATATTAAAAAGAAAGGGCCCGAACTGTCAAAAGCAAAAGCGATTTACATCGAAAACAGGCGGCGAAAATAAAAATAAAGGGGACTAGGTGCGGAAGAGAGATGGTGTAGCTTTCTTTCCACTTTGGATGGCTTTGTGAATCCTTGCAGGGGTATGGTTGGAGGTCACCGGAAGTTGCTGGACGGGGCGGGGGGCAAGCTGGCCACAGTCGCCACCAGCCCAGCGGACTCCGAGGAGTCCTCCTTAGGGGTACCGGAAGTCGCTCCACCGAGTTCCCAGCACCGAAACAGCATAACCCCACCGTCAGTCCATGCTTTCGTCTTAATTCTATTCTCTTTGTACTCTTCGATCTTTCGACTCTGTTTTCTTTTTCTCTCTGTGTCTCTCTTTCTCTCTTTTTCTCTCTCTCTCTCTGTCTCTCTCTCTCTGTCTCTTTACTCTTCGCTTTATTCTTTGGATGCAAATGTTGGGTAAATCCATAAGTAATTTCGTTTTAAAAATCGAATTGCAATTACGAAGAATCATTTATCGAGTAAATTTTTTAAACGAAGTCAAATTCTTCTTAAAATAATTTCGTACAGTGAAATAAATCGTATCACTGTTAAAATATCGCAGAAATTTCTCTTCCATTTTGATAATAATTATTAAATAATATTAATAATTAAAAATTATATAACTAGTGATTGATAAATTTATTTTTCTAATCTAGCATTATAAAGTTATCTATTTTTTATATACATAGTATAATGAAATTTTTTTAAGTAATTGAAACTTTTTTAAAAATTAAGGAATTAACAATAAACAAATTGCTCAATTAAAAAGATAAGAAATTTATTTATTTTAATTTATTGAAATTAAAAATATATAAGTATACGTGTTATTACTTTTTTTTTTTTTTTTATAAGAATTATACTTGTAAAATGATATTACTTATGGGATGACTTAATACATTTAAGAGTAAGTTTCTTGAGAATTGATACTCGAGGGTACTTCACGTAAGTGGATACTGCATTGAGAATATATGTTCGAGGTTAATATCGGATAATACAAATTATTATTAGACGTTATTATTTCCAACGTAGTATCGAGAAGTACTTTCGATGCGTTTAATCTTAAATGTATTTATACATTTTCGATGTTTCGCGGACACGTGGATTTATTTGATATTAATATCTTATCTCAAAATTGGATATCCACTTTATTGGATTATTATTGGATAAGTGGATAAATTTTGAAACATATTCAGAAAAATCAGAAAACTTTGACACTTGCTCGATAACAATGAAAGATTAAATACTTAATAAATGATGTAAGTCAATAAAAGTATTTACAATTTACATATTTCTTGCATATCATCATGATTCAGCGAGATTTATACAAAGCGAACAAAAAATTTTTATTAAACTATAAAAAATACATAAAGAAACTGATTGCTTAGCTCACAATATGAAGATTGTTATGAGTAAGGTATTGTAAGGTGTTGAAATTGTAAATTGTTTACCATAAGTTTTAATTAGCTGCATAAAAAAAGTGTAAAATAAGTATCATTGATATTAGTTTCCACGTATCCGCATAGGTTAGTTTGTTCATGCCGTCACTCTGCCTGTGTAATTATTAGCTGCCTGTGAAAAATATTTTTTAACAATTCGTGACCGTGAATTCATGTAATTCAAAAATAAAACCTTGCATTTAATATAATTATATAATCTGATTAATCTAATCTTTTTAATAATTGATAAAAATATCACAATCTTAATCTAATCTGATTTTAAACGTGATAAAAATTAAAATATTTTTAGAAGGAGCAATTTGCATCGCTTAAAACAATTTTTTTTACTTATCTTGAATAATAATCATATATATATAAATAATTTTAATTAAATTCAATTAAGCCATCTATTAATTTGATTAAATTATAATAATTTTTTTGTTGGAAAAAAGCATATTTTTTTTCCTTTTTTTTTGTTGCAAAGGATATCAAATGTGAAGAAATCGAATACAATTCCTATTCTTTGATATATTTTTATATTTTCTAATTAAAAATTTTATAATTTTATAAATTTTATGAATTTATCTGCAATGGCAGAAAAACAATATTAATCATCCATTTTAGACAAAGTTTGGTTTAATTATATTAATATTGCCGGATAACCGGATATCTTTTTAGTTATAATAATTTCTCAACGAAAAATCTTTGAAATGAAATGAAAATCTTTTCATTTCTAAATTTCTTTTAAATTTTAATTCGATATATTTTCCATCGATTTACATTTACAAATTAGAATTTTATTAAAAAGACACAAAATTAAATTACATTAATTATATGAAATTTTGAATTTTAATTGTATGAAATATTGACGTAAGGGTTGATTTTTTAAATATTAACGTAAGGATTCATGCTGTATGATACACCGCAGCTAGCTTGCATGCAATCTAAATGTCCTAATTATACATACAAAAAACAATTGGAAATTTCGCCATTCGTTGCATATCTTATTTCCATTTGCTTTTGTCTATCGATTTCGCTAAAACACATGTTGAACAATTTCGAAACATCGGCCCCTCGCTTCTGATCTTTGCATTTGTTTCATTAGCATCATAGCAACACTTTGATATTCCTTGATCGAGCATAATCATGTTTTTGCATGTGGTGTTTAATTTTGTTCGTGAACAATAATTAATTTTTTGATGACTCTGTGTTGAGGACGAATACTGGTCCAGAATTTTGCGAAGAATATCGTCATGGGACGAGATTCAAAAATTGTTATTTTTCACGTTCACAAATAGTGATATATAAATATCTTCCATGTTATATAAAATGTTTCAAAAAAAAAAAAAAAAAAATTATTTAAAATTCAATATGACACATAAAGCGCTACCATATGGAATAATAAGTATAGGTCGAAAATACAATTTTTTCTGAGAAATCATTTTTTGTTTTATATTAGCATCATCATTGTATTATTAGCTTATACGTGTCATAAAGAACGTTTTTCTTATTAAATAAGAAAGAAATTTTTTTATATTTTCTTTCTGTTCTTTGAATGTTCTCGTTCAATTTTCATATTATATTTTCTAATAGAAGTGTGCCAATTCTTTAATAAATGATTTGAAGAAATCGATTTTAGCATATATAATCTATGGAAATGGAAAGAGAACATCTCTAAATATAAGAAAGAAGTCGATCATAATATTGATGCAAGCAAAAATAATTATATCTCGAAAAATGGTTAATCTATGTGCCATATGAATCTTGGAGAAGATATGAATAGTTTTTTTTTTTTTTTTTCAAACATTCTGTACATCAGATACATTAGATTTTTTCTAACGATTTTGACAGTCAACATTTGAATTGATTTTCATTGAAAATGTAATGTGCTTTCTGTACTGGTGCTTTTGAAAATAAGAAAAAAAATGAACTCAAAGATGAAATAACAATTTTTTATCTTCGGCATGTCTATTTTCGTAGAAATCCCTCCAGTGGTTCGGGTCTCAGCGAAACAGGATCTCTGGATCGTGCAAAAGCCGCGCTGGAGCGCAGGAAAAAGGCCGAGGATGGAACCGGAAATTCGATTTTGTGCAGAGTTGAAGTGACTAGGCCAAATCCGGATTCCCTGATCGATGAGCTGATCAAAGCAACGAATTTGGAGCAAACTGATCTCGAGAGTTCTGAGAGTATGTTATTCTTATTCAATTATATTTCTTTAATTTATATTTTGTTATATAATAATTTTTCTTTTTTTCCAATTTAGTTTTTAAATCTTTTATTTCATCCAAGGTTTCTTTTTTCTTTTTCTTTTTTTTTTTTTTTACTTTTTCATTCTCATTAATAAAAATAGATATATAAAAGGAAAAAAATCTCACGAGAAAATAATTTTTCGATAAGATCATCAAGATTGTTTTTTAATATTTTCTTATGATGAAAAATATAAAAAGAAATTGATGATCGAACATCAATAATCTTAAATAAAAATTAAAAATTATATTTTGTTGCTATAACTGATCAATTTTTTTCTTTTTTTCTTTTTAATTAAACTTAGTATTTATTTGATGTAAACGAATATAATAATTATATAAAATTATATAAAAAATATTATATATTATATTATATTATATATAATAATTATATAAATTATAAAAAGAATATAACGTGAACTGATTATTTTTCATTTTTTTTTTAAATGTAATTATAAAACATAATATCTATTTAAATTGTAAAATACGCAGTAATGAAGACGTAATAAAAATATAGTTAGAACGAGTTATCTATCATCTTTCTTCTTTTCTCCCTCCTTTTTTTTTTTTTTTTTTTTTTAATTAACCTAATGTTTATTTAATGCGAAATATGAAGACATAGTAATAGATAGAAAAACTAAGAATATAATAAAAAGTAATTATCTTTCGTCTTTTCTTTTTCTTCTTCTTTTTTATTTATTAAATATATTCATTTGTGAAATATAAAGACTAATAAGACTATAAATAAAAATATAATAAGAATTATATTTATCATTTTTCTTATCTTTTTTTTTTTTTCTTTTTCGTCTTCTCTTTTTTTATAACGTTTAACGTAATATGTAATTTAAAATTTTCGATTATTATTTATATTTACAGCAACTGGACTTCAGCTGTTCATTGCGAAAGATGGGACGACTGCACTCGGCAGTCACGAGATCAAAAGTCAGATGCCCGCGGGTGTGTTCAAGCAGGTGGTAATGGAAGAGAATAATAGGTAACACGAAGCTATCGGGACAAGAAGACAGTACGCAAGACAAGTCAGCGCCACGTTCTCGTTGGCCCTGGTGCCAGAGCTCGTCTACGAGGCCTACGAGCCCCGGTAGTTACGAGATCAACGATGCTGGACGAGGGAATCGTCGAGAAGACGGTGAACACGGCGACGAAACACGAACGCCATCTTTCATCTCTCAAAAAAGAAAAAAAAAAAAAAAAAAAAAATCCTCCCTAATCTAAAATTATCCCTTTCGGTTGCCTAGCTGTCCTTCCGGCGTTCGGTGCTTCACGCTTCTCGTACAATGGATCGTCATTTACGCTCAAAATGCTGCTAAATGTTTCTTTTATATATCTTATATATATATATATAAATATATATATATATATGTATATCATATATATATCATATATATATATATATATATATATATATATATCAAATTATGAAAAGCAGTCTTCGTTGAATCGTGACACACGTGCGCATATTTTAAAGAGGGGGAACCGTCGATTTCCAGGATGATTCTGTGGCAACGAGATGCAACATACGCACCGAAACGCTTCGTTAAGAAAAAAAAAAAAAAAAAAAAAAAAGGAATTTGTACAGAGCGCTTCGAAAGAGGTGCACATGACTCAACACGATAATAATATGTATTTTGTTCCGCGAAGTCGAGGCACAATGCAAAATTATTTCTTTTTTTCTTTTGTTGTATTTTCGTCATTGAGATTAAATCAAAGAGTATATTGTTTAAAATAAATAGCTTTGGAAAGAAAAAATATGTAAAACGCGTATCGATATAAAGAAAAAGAAGAAAAACAAGAACAAGAAAAGAAAGAGATTAGAGGCGTTCAATGGGTAACCTGTAATCGTTTCGTGTTAAATAATGTTGAACAATAGTACACCAACGCTTCTTTTTTCTACCTGTGTTCACGGTTCCTTTTTTATCTACCGTAAAACCGTGCAGTTACTATAAAGTGGACTGAATCGTTCGTTCCAATCGTCGATCGAACGATGTTTAATTAAATGTATGAAAGGAAGCGCGAGTCTCGAATAGACCCGTTACACATGTTAACGTACAAAAGAAAATTTTTAAAGAAATAAGTTTCGATTATACATTGCCTTTTTGCTATCGTTTAAGATACAAGCGTTTAATATATTAATATATATGTGTGTGTGTGTGTGCGTGTATGTATATATACACTCACATACATATGCATATTACATAATCATTATATCGTTCATTTAGTCGTTCAGTTGGTTCTATTTGAACCGAGCGGAATTGTCGAATATCTCCGTCAGTGTTTCGATAATATATTTATTTTTATTCTGGAATTTAACTCCACTTTATAGTATTTCCGTTGTAATATCGGAATTCTCGCGATTCTCCTATATTTTTAGCCTTTATGCTGGCATCTTATTTTTTTTTTTTTTTTGTTCTTGTAAAATTATGATTGTACTGGGAAGTACATGATCGATGTCTGTGCATGTGTGTATGCGTGAATGGACGCGCGTATGTGTGTGTGTACATATATATATATATGAAAGAGAGAGAAAGAGGAGCGTCGTTTTATTGGATACAGAATTCGAATCGCCGTTTCCTCCCACAAAAGATATTCCATTTTATTAAATATTTTGAATCGGTGGAACGAGATTCACCAAGTGCCACATTATTTAATTTTTTCGAGGCTGAATATTTTTTCGTAATATTCCTATAATTATTATGATATTCTCGTCCCTTGTACCTTTTTCCGATAATAATAATCTCGTCGATCCAGAGATACGAATAAATAAAAAAGGAAGAAAAGAATAAGAAGAAAAAGGAAAAAAAAAAAAGAAATGAAAACTCGCCTTTGATTTTTCAGTTTTTCTGGTACAATTCGGCGACAGCATTAGTGATTCGTTGTATATAGAGCGATAGTAATTGTTACGTAGGTAAATGGCTGGTGTTGTATACATTCGTTCTTTTCCCTAATTATTCGAATTATCTTGTAACCGCTAATATACTTCGAGCGTTGAGCGGACGGCGCTCAATAAAAAATTTGTCGTACGCTGTATGCGAATGAAAATGGCAAAAACGAGATGACGATAACGTTCTGTAAATATATAGGAGTGCCTGAAATTACGTTGAGAGTGAATGAGATACAGAGAGAGAAAAAAGGGAGAGAAAGAGAAATGGAGAGTGGCAAATACTTTTTCCAGCGGTGCAAAAACGAATGAACGAAGCCGTTGAAAAAGCAATCACAGAGTGTAAGAGGAAAAAAAAGGAGAAAAAAAGGAAAACAGAAACATTATTCTTTACTCCTTGGCGCGTTGCGACCAACCTGATCGATTTTGCAAATTAGATCAACGAAATAAAAAGAGAAAAAAAAGAAAAATAATTAACGATGTGTGAAGCTAATAATCGTATGCACAAAATCAGCTTTTGCTTTAAGGAAATCTAATTTTTTTATTTATTTATGAATTACTATGACAGCTTTTTAGGAGTTGTTTTAACAATTTGACGATTATCGATGATTATTGGACCGTCTCAAATGTATGCGACAAATTATCATTTGGATCATGCGAATGCAAATCCTGTATCCTTGAAACAATATTTCTGCTTTTTATTCTCGACTAATATAGATATCGTAGCAATCATCATTCTTGTGGGATTGCTTACTTTATCGTCGTTATATAGCGAGAATTACGGGCTCACGTGTAACAAGTAAATTGTTCAAGCAGCCATTTTGAAAATTGATGTTTGCCAACACAGTCATTCGTCGTATAGAAAATTAATTCTTGTCTAGCGTTAACCGTGTGGATCGATTAAATGTTTGAATAGCAATATTTTACGAGTATTACAAAATCAAACGCACTAATGTTTTCTTCTACCTAATAATATCTAACAGTAAATCCTCGTCAATAATTCAAAACGTCAAAGCGTTATCAGCTTCCAAACGATGTTATTTAACAAATAAAAGGATTTAACGTTACGAACAGTATTAAGTACAAGAAATTAAATATGAAGAAATGTTTAAGAATCGTTGCCATCTAATCAATAACAAATGAATGGGGGGAGCCCGTAATTTATCGTTTCTTTCATCATCCACCCTTCTCTTCGATTATTCATTTTCTATTAATTTTTTCATTACGTCATTTTAGTATTTTTTCAACTACATAGCGCTTAGTTCCTAAGTCATCGCGCCAAGGTAGTCATTTCTCGTTTTCATGAGAGAATGGAGCACAGACGAGACGCCGATCGATGCGCATTTTGCACTATTTTTTCAATCTGTAAAAGATATTTATTTGAAAATAATGCGCGGAAAAAACGTTCGGCGGCTCGCGATCTTCTTATGTCTGCGTATTGCGATCGTATCCTTTTTTTATTATCTATTAACAGATTTTTCTGTTCATCTTAATTTATTCTTCTGCTTAGGTTCAGTCATGCGAAGCGAAATGACCGAAAAAAAATAACATTCACCTCGAAACAGGATTCCAGTTGTCAAGCTGCTCGTTTTGTTTCACGTATATTTATCCGAATGAAGAAATATAGGTCGAAAAGTAACCTTGAGATGGACTGACATATCGTGTCATTGCAATCGCCGAGTTTCGTTGCTGTGCATTAACCGATCCATGGAAATTGTTGACACTCATCTCAGACTGTTAATTGATTGCAAAATTAGCATAGGTAATGAATTTTTTTTTATTATTATTTAATAAATAATACTTTATAGAGATTGGCCATTCGGAATTTTCAATTTTTTTGTAATTCCAAAAATCTCGAAGTCTAGGTAAAAGATGACTTGTAAAAAAATTTGAAGATGTTGCAATTTAAACTTTAGACTCATTTTAATTCATGCGATTTCGTCATTTCTTAACAATAGTTTAGGAAAGAAAAAATGAAATATAAAAATGAAATTCTTCGTGAAAAAGAATGATTATGAACTTCATTTTATTAAAATTTCCAGAATATTGAAATTAAATAAATTTATTCAATATAAATAAATATAAAATTTCTTGACAAGATAAATAGATAATTCTTGAAAAAGAAAAAAGAAAGAAAGAAAAAATAAACAGATTCTGAATCTCTGAAGAGTTTCGAGAATTTTATGACTTTAGTTTCAAAGTTTACTATTCAGCCTTCATAGTTAAAATATTTTATCTAATATTTTTTTTTTTTTTTTAGAGATCCCTTGCAGTATTTGAAGTTTCATATATATCTTTTCAAGACAAATACAAAAAAAAGCCCATGCAAATTTTATAAAAGAGAAAATTCATTATCTATCAATAGTTATCTAATACTTATTATTTAATAATAGCTATTTATAATAAGATCGAATGTAATTGCATCCACTTGAAAACTTTATATTGATGAAATGTATGCCAACGAAAAATATTTCGTCATATCGGTAAATGCATAAAACAGGTGAAACTTGTTGATGAAGAAAGTATTGTCAGTGATCTCAAGGCAACCCGGTCAAAGAATATTGCTTTCGTTTGGTCAAGATATATCAAGATTTGAAATGCATGTCGCAAAGATACATATATGACTTCATCGGTAACTTGCATCATTATTTCCCTATAAGAAAAAAAAAGGATTCGAATTCGAAGGACTAATTTCCATGAAACACGTGTCTCTGGTCATTAAACCTATTTAAGTTTTGTAACGTAGTCAAGCCGGTCTTCATGCTTCCAAATATATCAAAACCATTTCGAACGTTGTTATACAAGTATGTTTTTTTCTGACAAGTTAAAATTTCGAGAGTTCAAGGTAAAGCGTTTCTCCCGTATTAATTTTTTTTTAATAATTACAATAATCGATACTCACATTTAGAAATTACATTCCTTTCTCTATTTCTTTTCTTTCTTCCTTAGTTTCTTTAATCCTCGATATTTTCAAGATAATGTCTTATTTATATGGATGTTTTGAGGCTTCTTATACACGTCTTTGATTCCATTATCCGGCAGATATTAACGTTGTGATATTTTATAATATTGTAATGGAACTCATTATCACTTCTGTATTATGAATTATATTACATGAACGATATTATTTTATAATTATTTCGGAACTGGCTTCTGGAACACTGCGGGAAAATGCGGCTCTCCGGCGACCTGAATGGTCTCTTTTTTTTTTTTTTTTTTTTTTTTTTTTTTTGTTTCTTATTTATAATTGTTGACGTTTTGTCTGATCCTTATTTTGTGAGATGGATGCGAAACTATCATGTGCTGATAATACTTTGAAAGTCAAAAAAAAAAAAAAAAAAAAAAAAAAAAAAAAAAAAAAAAAAAAAAAAAAAAAAAAAAAAATGCCTTGATGTTCTTTTTTCCAATCATTTTTCATTTGTCTTTTTTTTTTTCTTATTTTTCAATAATTAGATTTTATTCGAATTATGAAATAAACAATGTAACATAGTAAATCAAATTCTAATCTAACATCATTTAAATAAAAAACATGTTTCTAAATTCCATTAAAGCCGTCGCAACAAAGATTGGTACATATTGGTACAATATTGGTACATATGAAATGTTATTTTCTTAATCTTTTTTTCGAAATCTTATATATTTAAAAAAATAATTTTATTTAATTAACATAATATTCAAATTTTGTTATATGTATATATTTCTTAATGAGTTTCATTTTTTTTTTATTTATATAAATTGTTCGATATAATTTTTCTTATAGTTTTTTATTTATATATTTTTTCACTTATGTTATTTCAAAACAATTTATTGAATAAGAAATCTTTTCCAAATATTTTTATATATATTTTCAATAATTTTTTCTATATTTAAATTCATAAGAAAATTTATATATTGAATATTGAAAGATTTTATTACTATTCAATTATGTAATTTAGATCAAATATTTTCCTTTTCAATAGTAACAATAAATATAATTATCAATTTTTTATTGTGAAAAAAACGGCATTTTATATGCATCAATTTAATATAGATATACATGTGTGTATATATGTAAAAGATATATTTATAAATATACAACTAAAAATATTTTATAAAATTTTTCAAAAATCAAGATTATCCTTGATATATTTTAATTAATATCTCAACATTTTATCAAAAATTATGTATTTTATTACACTCAGATGTTTTATTACACATATATTGTACATTTTAACATGTAAAATATGTTAAATAACAATCATAAGAAACATGATAAAAAATGATTATTTTCAAAAATTCAATATCAACACTAACATTAACATCATTTTTATTAGAAATCATATTTTTATTTGAATTTGTTATATGAAATAAAAAAAAGATATGTAGAGTAAAATTGTTTTATCTCTGTCACATTGTCATTTTATATTATTTCTATCTATTTTCATCTAACATAAATTATTTGATAAATTATTAACTCCTAATCAATATTTTTGCGTATCAACTTTCGTATTTACTTTGACTTATAAAATAAATATTTTAGAAATTTTCCATGAATATATTATATTCTTATTCGGCTTTATCAATGAACGTACAAAAGAAAAAAAAGATATATACGAACCAGGAAAAGGAAACTAGTTACTTTCTCTACTAGACAGATCCATGGCTCTGATTTAACATCCGTTTATATATACGCATTTTATTTTGAGTGTTATGCGAGCGCTTTCACGATGTAATTTGCCACTGTTACGTCTAAAAGAAAACAAACATAAATTCGAACGTAATAGGATGCGACATCGCGTAAGAAAACTGGTTATTTGTAAGAGACACGTGCATTCGTTCCCTTTTCATATTTTTGATCGATTTTACATTACCACTTTTGGATAAAATATATTGTGCAATATTTTTGAGAATTTTTTAAATTGCTAAAAACGAAAATGATAATTAATTTTAATAAAAATGAAATTAACATAATCTAACCTATATTTTTCTTAAACGAAAGCTGATCACCTTTTAACTCATTAATTCTCTTGCTAGTTTTATATAATGATAATTGGCTTTCATTGACAATTTAACCTAAGTCATACTTCTTTTTAATAAAAATTAATTATTTTCTCGTTTCATTTGTTTTTGGACTTTACATATTTATCTTTCAAATATGCATCATATTTATACATATCGATATTTAAATGGCTATAGTAGAGAAAATCTAATATATAGGTTTGTATCTATGTGACCCATTTAAATGGGTTATTTCTATGAAAAATGATTTATTTTGCAATTTGAATATTTCAATGAATATTTCATTTTACTTTTTTTTTATTTTTACTAAAAATTCATTTATATTTATTTTCTATATATTATTCATTTGTTCATGCATTAATATACAATAATTTTTTTATAACTATCGTATATTGATCATATTATTAATTTACATGATAGTATTCTCTTAGTGATATCGTGATTTGAATTGTTAATTTATAATTATCCTTAAACATATTTAAGTTTATGTTAATATTCTGAATTATTTGCTCGTTTAATATCTACGTCCGTGTAGATATTAAATATTCGTGTATCTATTAAAGATTCGTGTCAAAATTGTAATGTGATTTTTGAATAGATAAAAAATTTTTTTTATTTAATAGACTTATTTTTTTGTGTTATAAAATTTCTCTAATGATGTACTGGTTATTATTTTATATATTAGATTGTTATGTTGTATAATTTTTATATACTATTCATATTTATTTTCAATTAATTTTTTTCTTTTAGGTTAATAATTTTATTATAAGAAAATATATCGTTGATTAAAAAAAATTTAATTATTTCGAAATAATATTTAATAAATATCATATCTATCATTAATTCTGTTATTATTTGATATGAAAAAAATGAGAATAAAACAAAAAATTTTGACGCTTATAATTTTATGATTAAATTAAAAA